TTGATGGTGGGGTAATATGGAAAGTAAAATTCAGTATTTTTAGTTGAATATTATAAAAGAGGGTTACAACTATTGATGGAATCACCATTGGTCATGGTGAAATATCTAGTTGGGGCATTCACTGTAGAGAGAGGGGTTCTCTCAGTCTTTAACTTAAAAGGTAATGCTAGGTAGTTTTACAGTGATACGATGTATAAGTATGAGGCTCATACTTCGAAATCTGGGAAATAAATAAATTCTAGGACAATAGGTATGAAGCTGTGATTTGATCTGCAAATTTCTGAGCATTGCCCATAAAATAGTCCTGGTCATATGGAAGCTAGTATAGCTTGGTTTAAGCGTCCTGGGATTGCATCTGTTTTAAGGCCTAGTAATGGAATGGCTCATGAGTGTAACACATCTTGTGACGAAATTAGCATACGAATATCTGCTTCTATTGGTAGAGTTGTTCGATTATCTACTTCAAGAAGTCAGAATTCGCCGGGTTCAAGGAAGTAGGCTGGTAGAATATGAGTCAAAGGCTAAATCCTCATAGTCTGAGTATTCATAGCTTCAGTATTATTGGTGGCCAATTGCTTTAAGGGTTAAGTAGGGTTTATTAAATTTGTCTGTTATATATAAAATACGTAGGGATGGAAGAGCAATTATAATAAGAATCATCGCAGGCAGGATGGTTCAGATTATTTCGATTTCTTGAGCATTTATAGTGCTAGTGTGAGTTAATTTTGTGGTAAGTATTAGGGAAATAATGTACAGGACTAGTGAACTAATTAGGAAAATAATTATAAGGGCGTGATCGTGAAAGGTGATGAGTTCTTCTGTAATGGGGGACGTAGCGTTTTGTAGACCTAATAGATTTTTGGTCTATAATTTATTTGACAGTTATGTAATTATTTTACTAATATCTTATTGAAAAAGTCATAGGGTCTATGGGATTGGCTTGAAACCAGTTTTGGAGAATTCAAATCCTTCCTTTTTCGTGTAGAGTTTTTATGTAAGTAGACTCTTCAAATGTGTGATAAGGAGGGGGGCAGCCGTAGAACCATTCTAGGTTGGTAGATATTTGTTCAATGGTTGAAACTTTTCGTTTTGAGGAGAAGGCTTCTCAGATTATAAAAATTATTAGAATAACTGCTGTTAGTGAAATAAATGAGCCTACGGATGAGACAGTCTTTTATGTAGTATATGCATCGGGGTAATCTGAATATCGTTGAGGCATTCCAGATAGGCCAAGAAAGTGCTGTGGAAAAAAAGTTATATTCACACCTACAAATATAATGGTAAAATGAATTTTAGCATAAGTTTGGTCAAGTGTATAACCTGAGAATAGTGGGAATCAGTGAATAAAGCCCTCTATAATGGCAAATACTGCTCTATTGATAAAACATAATGGAAGTGGGCTACTACATAGTATGTGTCATGTAGGACAATGTCTAATGATGAGTTGGGTGATACAATTCCTGTTAGCCCACCTACAGTGAAAAGAAAAATAAAACCCAGAGCTCATAGTATTGCAGGAGATCATTTAACATTACCGCCATGTAACGTAGCTAGTCAGCTAAAGACTTTTACTCCAGTGGGGATGGCAATGATTATGGTAGCTGATGTGAAGTATGCGTGTGTGTCTACATCTGTCCCTACTGTGAATATATGGTGGGCTTATACGATGAAGCCTAGAAACCCAATGGATATCATAGTTCAGACTACTCCCATATATCCGAATGGTTCTTTTTTGTTAGAATAGAATGTTACAATGTGCAAAATTATTCCGAAGCCCAGTAAAATAAGAATATATACTTCAGGGTGCCCAAAAAGTCAAAATAGATGTTGATACAGAATAGGGTCACCACCACCAGCAGGGTCAAAGAAAGTGGTATTAAGGTTGCGATCGGTTAATAATATAGTAATCCCGGCAGCTAAGACTGGGAGGGAGAGAAGTAGAAGGACCGCTGTAATAAGGACAGATCAGACGAAGAGAGGTGTTTGATACTGGGTTATGGCTGGTGGTTTTATATTAATAATTGTTGTAATAAAGTAATTGCCCCTAGAATAGAGGAAATACCTGCTAGATGAAGTGAAAAAATAGTTAAGTCTACAGAGACTCCTGGGTGTGATATATTCCCTGCTAGGGGCTGGTAAACTGTTCAGCCAGTTCCGGCACCAGCTCCTAGAGTTGAGGATGCGAGTAGAAGGAGAAGTGATGGGGGTAGAAGTCAGAAGCTTATGTTATTTATTTGAGGGAATGCTATGTCGGGAGCACCAGTTATTAGAGGGATAAGTCAATTTCTAAAACCTCCAATTATAATTGGTATTACTATAAAGAACATTATAATGAATGCGCGAGAGGTAACAATAACGTTGTAAACGTGGTCATCTTCTATCAGGCTCTCTGGTTGACCTAGCTCTGCTCGAATTAGGAGGCTTAGGGCTGTTCCTATTGCCCCAGCTCATGCACCAAATAGTTAATATAGTGTTCTGGTGTCTTTATGGTTAGTTGAAAATAGTCAGCGGTTTATGAACATAGGTAGAAAAAGGTAAAATGACTGTGAGTAAGCATTAGACTGTAAATCTAAAGACAGAGGAATAGCCCTCTTTTTGCCAGCTCTGAGGTGAATTTCCATATTGAATTGCAAATTCAAAGAAGCAGCTTCAATGCTGCCAGGACTTCTCCCGCCTTTTTTTCCTGTATGGCGGGAGAAGTAGACTGAAGCTGGTTGACTAGGTTATTTAGCTATTAACTAAATTTTTGTGGGTTAAAGTCCCATCAATCTAGGGAAGGCTTAGCTTAATTAAAGTAATTGATTTGTGTTCAGTTGATGCAAAATAAAGTTTGCAGTCCTTAGGGTGGTGCAGAAGTTAAGTAAAATCTACTTACTAAGGGCTTTGAAGGCTCTTGGTCTTATTAACCTAAATTTCTAGATTATTAGTATTAGTGGTGTTACAGGTAGTAAAAAGGTAGAAGAAATCATAAGTGGGGGTAGAAGTGGTGCTGGCTTTATATATTTCAGTTGTCAGCTAATTTTTGTGTTATTGGACGTGGGGAACATTGTTATTGAAATGGAGTATGTTAGGCGTATGTAAAAGTATAAGTTTATTAGTGTTAATGTAGCTATAGTAAGAGGAAAGATGAGATTATCATTTTGTAAGTTTTTGTATAATAGCTCATTTAGGAGAAAAGCCTGTTAGTGGGGATAGGCCTCCTAAAGATATTATTGGAATTATGGGCATTATTCATGTGAATTTATTTCAGGTGTGGGATAGAGTTGTTACATTTGAGCTTAAATAGAAAATTGTAAATATAGAGGTTGTTAAGAAGATATACATGAGTAAGCTTAGAATGGTAATGTTTGGGTCATAGAATAGTACTGCTATCATTCACCCTATATGGGTGATTGAGGAGTAAGCTAGGATTTTGCGTAGTTGTGTTTGGTTAAGTCCCCCCTCAGCTGCCGATTATAACTGATAGACTTGAGATTGCTAACAGAATATTTAAGTTGATTGATGGGAAAATTTGAAGAATAATTGATACAGGGGCTAGGTTTTGTCATGTAAGAATGAGTATAGCGGGGATTGGGGGATGCCTTGGGTTACTTCTGGGAGTCAGAAGTGAAGGGGGGCTATTCCTAGTTTTATTACTAGGGCGATTAGTATTATTGTCGATAGAATTTGATTAAGGGGTGGGTTAATTGTTCATTGTCCAGAAGATAGGTTGTTGAGAAAGAAGGCTATTAGGAGGATTATAGATGCGGTTGCTTGTATTAGGAAATACTTAGTGGATGCTTCTGTGGAGTGGGAGCTTGTGTTTTTAGCTAGTATTGGTACGATGGCTAATATATTTAATTCCAAGCCTATTCAGATTAGAAATCAGTGTGAGCTTAAAATTGTAATTAT